TCATTCTTGAACAATCACAGAAATGTTACAGCGTGGAAGGAAGATATTCACTCTGTCTCTGCAGGAACAATTTGCCTTATGCTACTCCACCTCCTTCTCTCCATAGCTCTGCACATTCTAACAAACTAATTTCCCCTTGAATGTCTCAATTGAACCTTTCCCTACTGTAATCTCAGGCAGTGCAGTCAAGATCCTAACAATTCACTACCTGAAAGGTTTTCCTCATGTCACCATTTCTACTTTTGCCAATTGCTTTAAATCTGTGCCCTCTTGTCCTCTACCCATTCACCAAATATCTTTTCCCCTTCTAATCTGTGAATATCTACTCAGGATTTTGAGTATCTATCAAATCTCCTATCACCCTCTCCTTACCAAGGAAAACCGCTCCAATTTCTCTAATCTAGCTATGTAAATGAAGTTCTTAATTTCTTGGGTTATTCTTGTGAATTTTTACTGCACTCTTTCTGATACCTTCACCTCTTTCCTAAATGGTGGTGTTTAGAACTGGACATAATACTACATAATACTGGCAGAACCATTACTCTGTATATGTTGGACACAGCTTCCTTACTTCTATACTCTGTGCTCCTATTAACAAAGCCTAAAGTGCCATGTGCTTTATTAATAGCTCTCTCAACCTGTTCTAACACTTGCAATGATTTAGGCACATATACACCCAGGTTGCACTGTTCCTGTATCTCCTTTAGTTTATATTGTCTCTCTGCATTCTTCCTACCAAAATGAATTACTTCACACTTCTTACCATTCACTCTGTAACTCAACTTTTGGATTCTTTTATAAAATATATGGATCTACTGAAGTAAGCTGCTTAATCCCTTGTTCATTTAATGACTTCATTCACCATCTGGTAAAAAAAAGTCAGAGAATAAAAATTAGTTTGATAGAGATTAAGCTAACGAACTAATGTACCATCATGATTATCTTTCAACTTTTAGCTAACAAATGTGTTGTAGTTGAATTTTGAAACTACCATGCAGGGGAAACAATTTTCAATCAAGATCTATAAATAACCATTCCAATTAAGGATCTTTCTTTATTCCTAATGTTATGAAATTCTCCAGTTACTGTCAGTAATGCAGAATGTCAGAGTCAGTTTAATTAATTAAGCATTGTAACCTAAAAACTGAGTTAGTATCAGAAGGGGCAAAGTGCCTCATGGAGAAATTAGCATATTCTATTTATTGATCTATGTCTTCCATGCATCCTATACTATAAACTGGAAATGTGAGTGTTTGACACTGTTAGCTCTTTGCTAATGATGTTACAAAGTTTCTGACTAATTTGGAAAATCCAAAATACAATTGTCTACTTTTTTTAAAAAAATGGGGACTGACCCTTACCAAGCTTAAGATGATAAAAGCTATTATGATGTTCAAAAATGCTCATGAACAGTTGAAAAAGAATGTGGGAGCAGAAATTCTATAGGGGGTTACCCAATCTCCGGTGAAACTTTGGCAAGATGTTTGTTAGATAAACAGCTTCAATGGCTGCTTACAGGTCTTCTCTTGGATTTTCTCGCAAACCCTCAGCAGAGGTCAGAAGAAACCTCATGGAAATGTCCTGGAGATGTTAAAAAAAAAATAAATTCTGCAAACAAGTAATTCAACATGGTGCTATTTCTTAAACAATTCTTCAAGTTGTGCAGAACATGTTTACCTGCTAAAGAATATTCCCAAATGTGATTTGATTTTAAGGAATGATCATTTTACTAGCAAAGATTAACAAATAGGAATAGATCCTTAGTTATCAGGTTCCATTCTGTTTCGTAGTACACGTATATAAAACTCCTGTATTTTATTCTCAAATTGTTTCTAAAATGCAGATATTTTGATAACTAAATTTGGAAGGAGTACATTTGCTAGCTACATTCTCTTATACAATAGAAACATGAGGTATGGTCATTTAGAGGTAACTTTAAATGTTTAAATAAAACATTACTATGTCAAAAGCCACAAGTATTTTAATGGCACTACAAAGGCACTTTCCTCATTATTTTTTGCTAGGTTTTGAGACTGGTACATTTGGAATGAACATGTCAAGTGAACTACAGGACGTCAGTGGCAATGATACTGATGGTAACTCATTGGAAAATACTGAAAGGGCATAATGTTGGTGAGATAAGTCAACTCAATTCAAGCCTTCAAAATCACAGTGCTCAAACTCTTTTATTGAAAGCATGTGGGGCTAAGCGAAGTTCCATTTCTTATCACTCAGAACCAGTCCTAATCTGTTCAAAAAGATCGTCTCATTGAACGTAATTAAGTAATTGTAAGAAGTAAGTGAAGACGAATGACAATCTTGAGTTGGCTTGAGGCAGGACATGGTTACTTTCTGCCCAGACATACTCAAGACCAAAAGTAACAAATAATTTCATACAATACAGGGATTACATCCCTAATTATCTTCTTTAAAAAAATTTCTAATTTCCACTATTTATTTATTTGAAATGAAGAACAAACAGCTAGAGATGTAGAATACAAAGGACATGTTTTAGGAGACAGAATGGAAACGCTCGAGGTTATTTGTGACAAAGCATTTAGCTCCCATGTATAATCTCAATGGAAAGAGATTCCAAAGTAACAATCCTTTTGAGCGATTTATATATTGCCAACCAAGACACCAGATTATTAGTGGTTTATGAATATTATCTGAACCCAGGGAAGTCACTTAGAAGTATTGGTTAAAACTTCAAATACGTTCTCATTGAAGGGTGGTCCAATTTTCTGCTGGTTTGATCAAGGGGGTTTTCCCAACACTGTTTGAAGATGAAACTAATGGCACATGATTTGACAAATATAAATCTATTTATATGCCAAAATCCATACAAGTCACTTTTAGCAAAAGTAACAGAAAGGTTCACAGTTTTACATACGTTGAGGCCAAGAGATGAATGAAATTGATAAGGAAGGTAATCTCAATTAGAAGTTTGGGTGGCTTTCTATGATGATGAATTCTGTGGTTATTTCTTGAATTATAATGATGCCATGAATTTTATTTTAATTAGTTACTGCAAACTAGTAGAAGTGATACTTTGGTACCTAACTATAGGCAATTTCTCTGAAATAATACTATTTTGGTGCAATCCACAATGTATGCTTGAAGTTTAATTTCTTAATTTCACAACTGTGCCATCTTCAGTTAAATGTAAATTTATATTTCATGTCAGGGAGAGATAAGAATGCTAAGGCTTTTACTTAAACAATAACAAAAAGTAAATAAAATACCTTCAATTAATCCCAACCATGTAATCATGCGTAACAGCTATAGATTTGTTGATTGTACATTAATTATTCATTGTGAAATATCCAGCAGAAATAATTCAACTGGAATTTGAATAATTTCATTGGTACAAGAGCAATGATCAAGTTAGACTTGTAGAAATCATTTCTTCCATTTACTTGCATCCAATTTTAGTACTCTGTTAGCCAAATTTTGTATACAACTGCTTAACTATGTTCATCACTGTTGCACTGTGCATTAAGCATTGAATGTATGTAGTTTCTGTTCTGCATTGTTCCAACAATCTGGATTTCAACCTATGTTTTATAGATAGTACCATTTCTGATAATGCCATTTCTATTTACCTGCCTTAAATGTCCGAGAGTCAAGATATCACAACAATTTTTACACCTTAACTATAGAGCAAACAATAATGTTTCTTATTCCTGCAATGACTTTAACAGCATTTCTGGATGCCCATAAATATATCAAAGCATTTGGTTTCTGTGGCAACTTTACACAATTACCAAAATTCTGGAAGTGATATTCTGATACTTCTGAAATGACACCGACATTTTAAACTTACTGGGCAAGTGAAGTTTAATTTCTGAATTTCACAATTGTGCCATTTTATGCTGAAGAGATCAAATGATATTATACAAGTTTACATTTAATGCCACAGAAAGTTAGTAACACTGAAGCTTTTTAGTTGCACCATAAAAGGTAGATATTTTTGATGATACGAAATATTGCCAGAGGTCAGTGATGCTTCAGGGTTTTAATTGTGAGTGCGGATGCCTTTTTTGTTTGAGATGAAGTATAAAATTGATGGCCCAATGTGTTTGCACCATTGGAGAGCATTACTTCACTGCCAGGCATATCCTGAAATTACAGGTAAATTAGTGTATCAAAAATCATGGGTATTGTATCTGCAATTTTTTTGATATGGGTGGCATGTGGAAAAAGGTTCATGTGAGTCATCTATTTTTGGAAATCAACCTTATAACAGGTGAAATACAGTGACTGGTAAAGTTATGCAAGTAGGTACAGCAAATGATGTACATCCGCAAGCTGAATAAATGCACAATGCCGTTAGGGAGGGACTTCCAGGATTTTGATCCAGTGATAGCAAAGGAATGGCGATACATTTCCAAGTCAGGACGGTGAGTGGCTTGGACAGGAGCTTGCATGTATATATGGACACAAGTGTAATGATACATCATTTGTTGTGTCTGCATCAGCAATCTGTATGTATTTTTCATTTCTCCTAGTTTTCTCCCCTCTTATGGACTCAGGCTAGTATATCAATGTCATGTACCCTTTTGCACTTCTCCGAAGTGACAATTTTTCATACAAACGTCTGGAAAAGTATTCAACTATTACAATCAAGACTAATCCCATTTTCACAAGTGTTGGCGCATGCACGCTTTACAGTAAGACACATTAATTCATAAATTTAGGTGTGGATTTCCCACCTCCTTAGCCAGGGAGCACTGAAACAAAGCATCCTAATGGCCAGTCCAGCTGAGATGAGCTCAGCATGCACCAGTGATCGAACCTGGGAACAACTTTGTCTGCTGGCTCAGTTCCAAACCAGGGATTGTACTCAACAATTGAGCAGAGAAGCTCAAAATACAGTGCATGCTCCAGCAATCTAGACATTAATATCTCAGAGGTCAGTAGTGATCTGTTAGCAGTATTATAAACATGCAAAGTAAATCTAACAATATTTAGGAGAATTAAAAAATCACAGAATCATATTTTCTAATATCAAAATATAGCAATTTATTCAAGACATTGAATATGATTTGATGATTTGTTTTCTTTAATGAGCACGAGCTACATCACACATTCTGGATTAGAAGAAACATAAAAGGTCACGTGATCTCCTTTGACCTAAACTCCTGAGAGGCTGCAAGGAGAAGGAACAAAGTCTGGCTGACAGTCTGACACAGACAATAAAAGCAACAAAAGCCAGAACACAGATATTAAACAAATGAATTCTCTGCGTATGACAAGGAACATATTCAAAAAACTCAGAGAACAAAACAAAGCAGACCCTTACATTAGACAAAGTGCACCTCACCTGGCTCTAAACAGCTTTGTTAGCAAATATTTAAAAAAAAAGACCTAAAGCATGGCATGAGATTAAAGAATTTAAGCTCTTGTACAGTGTTACGATGTCTCATTTCTCGCATTTCTTTAAAATGAAGTGTCTGCTAGGTTTGTGGTTTGCCGTTCTGGCTTTTAAGGTCTGGCGTGTGATTAAAGGTAAAAATTACAAATATTTCTTTTGCTATTTCTTTTTCAAAAATACACTGGGGATCTTCCCGTGAGTCTTCTTTCCCTGTATGAAGCTGGTGACAAGTTCACCTTCTCAAATGTAAAGCACTTTTAATATGCAGTTCTCTGAAGAAGTGCCTTTTTGAAAGATCACAACCTGAAGCACAGTAATGTAAGCAAGTCTATCAGCAGTTCAGGAAAGCTTAAGTTTTAAAACCCCACAGATTCCTCCCTGCAGCTTCTAGAAACAAAATCATTCACATCCAACCCTGGTAAAAGCTTCTTTTAGGAACCTACATAATACTCCAGCGTCCCTAAAACTTCTTTTTAAACAAAACAAAAATCCAGAAAATATAAAGTGTTGCTATTACAAAGTTGCAGATTATTTCACTGTGACTGCACACAATGTTATTCTTCATTTTCAGCAGCACTGTAGTGTCCAAACCAGAATGAGGAAAGTACATGAAGGAAGGAAAATCTACATTATTTCCTTTTTTTTTGTTGGTCATTTGTATTTTTTTCTCTCATGTTTGTTTTTTTTTTGGTACATCACAGCATCTGCAGTTTGGCACAATGCTCTCAGTCACGAACATAAATTGCCATCATCTGTCCTGTTGAAAACCCCAAAACATGAACTGAAGCAGTATCCTTGCGTGACATTCCAAGGCTGAAGGGTTCAACTGGTGAAAATGCCAGCGCACGATTGGGTTTCATTTGGGGGACTGAACTGGGGGTTTGCAGACAATAAAATCATTATTTGGAAGGGTGGGGCAGGGAATTAGAATTAAATGGTCAGGGAGAGCTGGTTTTAACCATTTCATTTTAAAAGTCAGATTCTTGTAGTTCTGGAGCTGACACACGGTGAAGGAGCGCATTTGCCACCCGCACATTCACTGCCGGTCTAATCTTACATCCTGTTAGCTTGCCATTTTGCTATTTCCGTAGATCAAGCACACAGACCTAGGAAAAACAAAACAAAAACAAATCAACAATTGTTAATAACAATTAGGCACAGAGAGCATTGGTTTTAAAAATACCTAAAGTAAAATCGGTATACTGGAAATTTAAAATGTGCACAGAAATTGGAAGCAGTGGCTGAATATTTGAAAGGGAAATATAGATTTGCAGTTTAGGTGAGCTGTTATGTAGAATCAGTGTTAACATATGATGGACTTACTACTTTCATAGAGTGGTGCAATATTGCTTGGTTTGATTATCTCTCTCTCTAATTCAAGATGTCACAGTCTAGCTGTGTAGTGTTGTTCTGGTAATTTAGACCATCAAATAGAAGGAATGCAGGAATATAAACAATTCTATTTTTGGTAGCTTGTTAATGAGTATAACAAGCCTTCATTTCTCAGAACATTGAGTATAGGAGTTGGGACGTCACGTTGCAGCTGCACGGGACGTTGGTGAGGCCACTTTTGGCATACTGTTCTGGTTGCTCTACTGTGGGAAGGATATTATTAAATGGAAAGGGTGTAGAAAATATTTACAAGTCCTGTTAACAGGACTGGAGGGTTTGAATTAGAAGGAGAGGCTGGGATAGACTGGGACTTTTTCCACTGGAGAACAGGAGGTTGAGAGGTTACCTTAGAGGTTTATAAAATCATGAGAGGCACATATTGTTCCTTGGGGAGGGGAGTTCAAAACTCAAGGGCATGGTTTTACGCTGAGAGGAGAAAGATTTAAAGGGACCTGAGGGCCAACCTTTTCACACAGAGGAGTTTGTATGTGGAATGAACTGCCAGAAGTAGTAGTAGATGCAGGTATAGTTACAACATATAAAAGCTATTTGGCCAAGTACAGGAATAGAAAAGCTTTAGAGGGATATGGGCCAAACGCAGGCAAAAGAGACTAATTTAGTTTGGGAAACCCGGTCAGCATGATGAGTTGGACTGAAGGATCTGTTTCTGTGCTGTATGACTCCATAATGAAAGTCACATTAAGGTGCTGGGGCTGAATTTTTGTGGGCTTTCTCCCACTTTTCTACTACAACTTTTACAAAGGTTCAGCAGGGACTATGTTTACATTTTTTATTCATTTGTGGGATGTGGGCATCGCTGGCTGGCCAGCATTTCTTGCCCATCCCTGGTTACCCTTGAGAAGGCGGTGGTGAGTTGCCTTCTTGAACCGCTGCCGTTCAACCTGCTGTGGGTTGACCACAATGCCATTGGGGAGGGAATTCTAGGATTTTGACCCAGCAACAGTGAAGGAACAATGATATATATCCAAGTCAGGATTGAGAGTGGCTTGGAGGGGAACTTGCAGGTGGTAGTGTTCCCACATATCTGCTGCCCTCGTCCTTCTAGATGGAAGTGATCATGGGTTTGGAAGGCGCTGTCTGAGGATCTTTGGTGAATTCCTGCAGTGCATCTTGTACAAAGTACACACTGCTGCTACTGAGCACCAGTGGTGAAGGGAATGGATGCTTGTGGATGTAGTGCCAATCAAGTGGACTGCTTTGTCCTGGATAGTGTCAAGCCTCTCGAGTGTTGTTGGGGCTGCACTCATCCAGGCAAGTGGGGAGCATTCCATCACACTCCTGACTTGTACCTGCCTAAATGATACTTCTGTCAAACATTTACTGGCAAAGCATGAGAAGAAAGCCCTGGGGAAATACAACTCCCAGGCATCATAATGGGTTATAGCATCTCTTCTTTGACAGTGGGACCTGGGATCAAATTATATCAAGGCTATTGGAATTAAAATCTCCTTTTTCTCTGTCAGAATTAATGGGCTGAATTTTCCTGCCCTTGTGGCAGGAATGACGCTCTGCTCTAAGTGTGGAGCTGCTAGCTCATGGAAGCTGCCACTTACTAGGGGTTCAGTAGGCTGCCACAGATTGCATAAGATGGCTGGATCCAGGGGCTACAAGGTTCATATGGGTCCAGGTGCAGCTGTATGCATTCTTCTGGAGGGGTTATCCCTCCAATTCATGTTTCCTCATAATACTGTGACTTCTTTCAACTGAAGGAGACCATCACAAGCACCTTGATTTTGAGACACTCTCCAGCTCGACTCCTCACCAAAAGCACCCTCCAGTCTTCACAGGGCTTTTGGCCAAGCAATACCACAGCATCTCCAATTGGATCTCCTGGAATTTGCTTGTCCATTGGTTGATTCTAGAATGATTGTGATTGACATCCAACTGCTGCCATTTTCAGATTTCTAAGCTAGAATTGAGGCCACTTTTGGAATTGTGACTGGCCTGGCAAAATGCAGCTCCTGCATAATCCTGCATGAAACAAGTCTGAATGCAATTATCAGCTACTGATGAGCAGATTGCATGCTTTCCCAATTGAAATAGTCAAAGTCTAACTTTAATAGGAGCAAATTACTGCAGATGCTGGAATCTATACTGAAAACAACAAATGCTGGAGATCACAGCGGGTCAGATAGCATCCATGGAGAGACAGCGACCTAACGTTTCGAGTCTAGATGATTCTTTATCCGGGCTGAGATGAAATGTGGAGGGGACAGTCTTCATGCTATAATTGGGGGGCTTGTGGGGGTGGTTGGTATAGGGAGCTGGTGGAAAAACGATACTGATAGCTCAGATTAAGTGATTGGAATGTGAGAATGACAGAACAATGGTCCATTTACCTGCCAGACTGGAAAGAACAGACAGTGCCCTGGGGTGGGACAGGGGAGAGAGGACATGATAACAAAAAATGTAACAAGTAAAGCTAAATGAAAGGGAAGAAATGGGAGAAGGTAACAAGTAAAGCTAAAGGAAAGGGAAGAAAT